TGCTGGGACCTGACATAGTTGTTGATTTGGAAAGGGCTCCACTTTTCAGTCTCAGGGTGAGGGAATCGGTGAGTGGTGCTGTGGTGACTTCACAGAGTTTGTAGTTGTACAACTGGGGCTCTCATTTATTCTGAAATCTGTCTAATTAGGGTGTGGGGTCTAACAAACTTCCATTGGAGAATGAAAAAATAGAAAGCTGTCACTGTATTAGGTACACTGTCCAACAAAAGTTGTGCTACTAACTGTCTTGTGTGGCCTCAGTTTGTTTAACCTCTCTGGTCCTGTTTTCTTCTCTGTAGAATGAAGACGGTGGATTTGATCTGTAAAATCGCTTCCTGCTCTAAATCTGATCATGTGGTAAACTATCTTAAGGGAGTGGGGAGAGGGGATGCATAGAGTTAGAGGAGAGAAGATTATAGTAATAGGAACTTTAAGCTTTGAGTAGAAAAGGGAGGGGTTAAGTGTTGGAGTAACCAGTTCTTCTGGTTACATGTAAGATCTATTTTATCATCTCAAGGCCTCTTATATATAAATGTATTGTGTTGAGAATCTAGTTGGGAAAAAATGAACACATAACTGGATTAAAACGTCACGTGTGATGCCTTATCTGAGGAAGTTAGAAGAAAAAAGATACTTCCAGCAGTATTGATCAGCAAAGACTTCATGAGAGAGGTGGGGTTTGGACAGGGTTGTTAAAAGCCAATAGGTATGACTGTGATAGGAGATCAAAGGGACATTTACAGTGGGCAGTGTAATGTGCAAGGCCATTTTAACTAGAGTGAGGGTTTAGGTAGGTAAATAGTGGGAAGTAAGGCCAAAAAGTAAACTGCAACCAGATTGTGAGGCTACTGATTGACAGCCTAATGAGGCTTTTTTCCAGAGTACTAATTCCACAACTTGGCCTTCCACTCTTTTTACATGTTATCTCCCTACCAAGCCAAATTGGCCTTCTTCTTTGGTACACACAATATTCCGCCTCATGTTCCAGAGCTTTTGCATTGGCTGTCTCCTATTACTGAAATGTCCTTCTTCCTTAATTCTCACTAAAATCCCTAGTTTGCGTCAAGGTTTATCTGATGGGCTACCTTCCAAGTAAAAGCTTTTCACATTCATTCTGCCTCCCTCCCACCCCAGCAGATACTGCTCCATCCCCAAATTATTTTGAATCTATTTTTGTACATACCTAGATAAGTATGTGTTGTCTCCCCTGGCCAGTTTGCAAGCTCTTCTTGGGCTGAAACTGTTTTACTTGAGTCTTTGTATCCTTAGTGCCAATAGGTACTTCATAAATACTTGTTAATTTATCAGTTGATAAAGAGTTAAAACTTTTGTGATATAGGTAATAGGTAGCCACTGAAGATTTTTGAGCAGGGGATGAATGACTTGAATATTTGTTGAATGAATAATAAAATCAGAAATGTGGGAAGAGAAATTTCACTATTATGTAAAAGATATGTTGTGGGGGGGAGTAGTTCCAGAGGAAGAGAGACTGAAAACTCAGAAAGCTGTCTTGGTGTGATGTAATAAGGTCCAAGCCTAGAATGGTGTTATTGAGAATGGGGTAAAAAGGAAGGGAAGACAAATAAAAGATACATTGTGAATGAAGAATCGGTGAGGCCACCTGACAGGATTTATGGGTCCATGAATAGGGAGGAGTCAAAGATACCAAGTTTTGGAGCCTAGGTGACTAAGAAGTACCATTATCAGAAATAAGAAAGTTAGGAAAAGGGAGGATAAGGCTGATTTTTTAGGTGATTGGACATTCAGGTGGAGACATCTCATAGGCAGTTGAAAATAATGGGAACTAGAGCTTTGGTAAAGCTGGAAACAGGAGTTTGGATTCTCCTGCATAGAGGTGGTAGTTGAGGGCATGAACTGTGTAGTGCATGAAGTATAGGCTGATAGAAGACAGAACCGTGGGACAGTGCTTAAGTGCTGAAGATCTCCTATTATTCCCCTAAAGCAGTCATGCCTGATGTAAAGGCATCAGTTTGACACTTTGTTCTAGTACAAAGCAGTTTGAGCAATTTTTCACAACTCATATTTGTATAATCATTCTAATGTTTGCAAAGCACTTTCCTCAGAAGGTAGGCAGTATAAGTACCATTGTAAATGACTACAAGTTGTAATATTTTAATTTTATAGGTCAGCTAAACAAGAACCACATCTCTTGATTGTTTTATAATTTCATTTTGTGGTTAACTGATTTGATTAGAACATGCTGCTAGTAAGGCCAGAGTCATACGTTCTTTACCTAGAGAAATAGCCGCAAATTGCATATATCCCGGCAGAGTATCAGGCATGCTTGTTGTTAGCAAACAGTGGGGATGGGATGGACAGTTCAGCACAATTCTGTTGGCAGACCCCAAAGATCCTGTGAATAGGGTGGCAGAGTTTTCATGTCCAAAAAACAGCATGTGTACTACAGAAAGTAACATGATACATGTTTTTACGTTTAAGCACCTTTTCAAAATAAATTTCACATGTTGATAGTGGATAGTGGACAGAGCACTGGATTTTGGAGCCCAGGAATCTGGGTTCTGAGCTTTGCTCCTACTTCCTGGGAGACATTGAAATAGCATGGTACAGTGGGAAGAAGTCAGGGGACCTAATGTGTCGTAATCAGATCTGTGCTTGTTATCTGTGGGATGTTAGGCAAGTCACTAACCTCTCTGGGTCTCAGTCCCTCATCTGTAAAATGAGGGCATTGGAATGGGTGGCCCCTAAAGGTCTCTGCCAGCTCTGTATGATCCTGTGATTCTCTCTCAGAAAGAGTTCATTGTCTGTCACAGGAAGGGTTTAGACTAGATGTCTCCTTCCATAACATTGTGATGTCTATGGATGCTAGGATTCTGTTTCCCTAAAATGAAGGGTGGGGAGGAAGTCCTGTGCTTAGGGGACTATTCTGAAGAAGGTTAAAAATCAATTGAGGTAATTTAAATCTCTATATACACATATTAACATTAACATATTAACATTTCCTTGGATCTATATTATCATTTTTTCCCTTCTTCCAAAACTCTTAACTAAATATCCAGGTGTAATTCTGGACATTTAAAATAAAAACAAGATTGGGAGATAGGAATGATTTGGTAGGTATGTGCATTTCTGACTTTGCTCAAAATTAGTTGTATTTTTAAAGTTTGTAAATTGTTTTGGAACACATTTTTCTCATAGGAAGAATGTTGTAAGTGGTGACCAGGTTCTCAGGCTGATCTATATTGGAGCTGAAACCAATGGGAAAAAAATGCCAGGAAACTACTGCAGGCCTAAGAATTAAACGACAGAAAAATAAAATAGGTGAAACACTGCTTTTTTCCATCTTGAATGCTGGTGCACAAAGAAAAGCACATTTAATTAGGAGCAAAAAAAAAAAAAGGTAATGGGTAGAAAGCCCTTTTTGTGGCAGTTTGAACGAAACTTGAACACATTCAAGAGCTTAAAATATTTTTCTCCCTAACTTCCCTTTAAAATTCTGTGACCTTTTCCTTGATGCAGCTGTATCAGTAGCATAACTTCTAGTTTTATTATATGTGGTAGAGAAGTTGTCTCTAGAGTTTTTCAGTTTTTGCCTACAAAATAGAATTAATAATTTGTTAAATTTAATAGGATTAGAGGAGGAAAGTGAGGAGGTGAGTTAAAGACTTTAAAGACATTGCATTTTGAAATAAAGATTATCTGAGGTGGAATACATCGGTTTTGAGTGGTGAAAGGCAGAGGATAAACTTTTTATTTCTTTTCCTATCTTCACATATGGTTATGACTAATTTTGTCTATGTTTAATATAACTTAGGTAACATGAAATGATGGATAATTCCCATGAAAGTCACTCAGACCCTCACATGGATTAAAATAGTGGAGCTTTTTGAGGGAGGGGGAGGAAGAATGCAAATTTCCAACTTTCCTATTGCTTCTGGCTTGCCTCATCAACACAGAAGTTATCTGTGTTTGCTAGCATAGGGGCTCTTATTTACCCATTTGGTTGTCTGGGGAAACCTATGGACCCCTTTTCAGAATAATGTTTTAGATGCATAAAATAAGCCACATGGAATTTAAAAAGGAAACCAATTATATTGAAATACAGTTTCGAAAATGTTTTTAAAAGCTCGCAGATCTCTGCTCTAGTAGAAATGTGGGTAGTTCAATCCTATCTCTTACACCAACAGTTTGTCTTTGCCGTAGCCTTGGCCTCGAAAAGCAAATCCTTCTCTGCCAGGTGACTTCCACCATAGTTCACAAAATCAGCTCTCTATGGAGTGAGTCATAGGATTGTAGAGCCAAAAGAGGCATTGCACAGTATATCTTCGAGTCCAGCCTCTCTATTGGGTAGATGAGAAAACTGAGGCCAGAGATGTTAAGTGACTTGCCCATGTTCTCACAGATTATAACCTGGTAGAATAACTAGGTCCTCTGACTTGCAAATCCATCGCTCAGTTCACTCCAGGGATGGGGAACCTGCTGGATTTGTTCCGTGAAGTTTGGATTCAAAGGGGCTGTACGTGAGGAGCTAGGGGGCCACATGTGGTCTTGAGGCCATAGGTTCCCTACCCCTGCCACCTTGCTGCTGCCTTTTACTTTGCATGTGCTTTGTATTTGCTTATATGTGTATGAATTGTTTCTTTTGAGGGAATGTAAGCTCCGTGAGAAGAGGGACAGTTGGATTTTTGTCTTTGTATCTCTATCACCTAATACAGTTTGTGCTCATAGTAAATGCTTAAGAAATGCTTGTTGATTGTTAAACATAAAGCTGAAGGAATCCTAAATCTGTCATATATAGAAATAGTTTTTAAAAATACTAATTCTTACTCATTAAGCTACGATTTCAAGTTAAGAAATCAATTTACTAAAAGTTACAAAACTATATACTAACCCAAGATATGCTACTATCAGCTAGTTGTATTCTGTGGGTACAGTCATGCAAGAAGAAAAATTTAATTAACTTTTTAATGGAAAAAAAATGAAAATGCAGAGTTATTATATACTTGTTTTTGTTCCCTTAGGTCACCCCAAGAGCAGAGACCCCTATAAATAGTGTTGGTAACAGTTTGGAAAATGCACTACATACATCAGCACATTCCATTGAGGAGTCTTTACCCAAGAGGCCTTCAGGAAAGCACTCTAAAGGTAAGTCCAAAATTGGGTTTGTAAAAGTATAGACTTAGAAGGTGAAAGTTTTTTGTTCTTCAGTTGTTTCAATTATGTCCAACTCTTCATGATGCTATTTGGGTTTTCTTGGCAAAGATACTACAGTGGTTTGCCATTCCTTCTCCAGCTCATTTTAAAGATGAAGAAACTGAGACAAAGAGGGTTAAGTGACTTGCCCAGGGCCATACAGCTAGTAAGTGTCTGAGGCCGGATTTGAACTCACCAAGATGAGTCTTCCTGACTCTGGGCCCTGTACTCTTATTCACTGTGCCCCTTACCTGCCCGTAGGTGAAAGTTTACTTGATTTCAAAAAAGATAAAGTAATTTTTCATCAGATAACTTCATGTTTCCAAAACTAGTGCTTTGGTACTCTTAGTACCTGTTTGGTACTTCTTTTCACTCTGTATTACATATAGTGGCCTGGTTGATAATCAGGATTAAATTGACTTTTTAAAAATCATGGAAATCAGTAGCAAAATTAAAAGCAGAACTCATTTAGTGAATGACTTTGTGGAGAATGTAGAATTACCAGAGTGAGGGACGTTTGTTATACAGTAATAGGTTTTAAGTTAGAGAATAAGTTTAAGTTAGAGAATAACAAATTATCTGACATTGTTAGAGGTACAGCAAAAATGGGGATGCTCTCTAGGGGATTTCCTAATTCATTAACATCTCTTAAAGGGCATAAACCTGTTGGAGTCCTACCCTCTCAGATACCCATAGAGAACTAGGTCCTTCCACCTCTACAGAGATTTATATAGCCAAAAATAAGTATAACTCTAGAAGATAGGCATTTAGATGACTCAGTAGATACACTGTTGGACTTATAGTCATGAAGACCTAAATTTAGACCCTGCCTCAAACATTTCTTAGCTTTGTGACCCAAGGTAAATCATTTAATTTTTGGCTGCCTCATTTTCTTTATCTATAAAATGAGGATAATAATAGGACTTACATCATGGGGTGGATAATATTTGTAAAGTACTTTCTAAGTCTTATAGTACTATATGATTGCTAGCTGATATTATCATTCCTATTCCTATTATTATCATTATCACTTCTTTTCCTACTCAATACAACCTTAGAGGACAATGAATCACTCACCCTAAGAAATCTGTTTGTTTGGTGATCTCCACTGTGATGCTGTTCAGTTGTGTCATACTCTTTGTGACCCCATGGACCATACTGTCTATAGGGTTTTCTTAGTAATGATATTGGAGGAGTTTGCCATTTCCTTCTCCAGTGGACTAAGGCAAGCATTAAATGACTTGCCCAGGGTCACACAACTAAGTGTCAGAGGCTGAATTTGAACTCAGGTTTTCCTGATTTCAGGCCCAACACTCTATCCACTGAGCTATCTAGCTGCCTCTGGATTTCCACCATACCTCTTCCTAAATATGTAACCCCACATTATCTTCTGGTGCATGGTCCTTATCCATATCCCAGTTTGAGTGACTCATCTCACTTCAGAAGTCATTACCATTCTTTTCATTTCTCAATACTGTCTTGGGATAATTGTCTCATTCTGGGTATCTCTCCTGGGGGTTATAGGAAAAGACCTGACTCAACTCTGGTAGTTAGGGTCAAAATTAGAACAATATGATATTTATGGGGTATTTACTAGTTAACGAAAGGAAATTTACTTAATAGTAGCAGAGTAAGGATATTAAATCCGGCTCTTCAGTGAAGAGATGGCATTAATTCAGCTGATGTAGCCTCTGTCTTTCTGTGGCTCACAGCAGTCTGATGATCAGGCATCATGTCTCTGCAGGGAACACCTGCAGTATTTGTACTCATGCACATTAACAGCCTGAACTCTAGTCCCCTGAGTCAATTAAATCTTAAAGACAGTTTCAATAACCTTTAAAGAAGAACTAATGTAACCTGAGTGGATTTAAGATTTTCCTTTTATGCTTTTTATTTCTTTTCCCTATTGTATTCTGCCACTAGAACTCATGTCTTAACTATAGATTTCCTTTTAATCCTTGGCTGTTGCTCCTTTATCAGGACATACCTTTTCTTAGAATACCACCATCTAGATTTTCTTAGTCAACCTCTTTACTTGTATTTGTCCCTAGTTTTAGTAGAGTTTAGTCCATTATGCCCTCAAAAAAGCCTATAGCTCACATAAATGATGGGAAGAGTGGAGAGCTCAATCAAATCATGGCTACTCTAATTTACATATATTGGTTTTTCAGTTTTTAACAGTCAGTCAATAAACATTTATTAAGACCTACTACATGCTTTGCACTGTGATAAGCACTAGAGATGCAGAGAAAGGCAAAAGACAATCCTGGTCTTCAAGGAGCTCACAGTGTAAGGGAGAAAGAAAACACACAAAAAGAAACTGAAGGGGTCAGGGCAAGGCAGGGAGGAGGGTTCTCAGTTCAGGGACATGATGAAATCCAGAAAAGTTCAGCCTGCTGGGAAATAAGCAATGAACTGCTCTTCAAGTTTGATCTCTCTCTAGGTTAGCTATTTTTCTCCTCCAAAATGATTGGTTACAATGAATTCTATTAAAATAGATCACATAGTACCAAAATGACATACAATTATCTCATTATTAAACATACTAATGAGGAAGACCAGAGATGTTGATGAACCTACCAAAATTTATTTTTTATTTTGGAATTTTTTTTTTTTTGTATTTGAACGTGAGTGTGTTTTGATTAGGAAATTTACTTTCAGTAAAAGTAAAGTGTTCAAGATGTGGAAAGAGCACTGGATTTGTAATTGGAAAACCTGATTTTGTATCTTTTCTCCAACACTTAATATCACTTTGATGTCAATAAAATTCACTTTCCTTTTGGGAAACAAATGGAAACCTTGAATGAGGCTGAGGCTTTAAACTTCATGATCTTTTTAAGACTTACCAACATTATCCTCTGCACAAGTAAACTGAGTGCTAGGAAAAGTTGTACTGTCTCCATCTTGGTGTGATGGTGGGTCTTTTAATTTTTTTTCTACCTTAAACCACTTTTTTGACCAATAAACAAAATTTAAGTTCTCCAGAATTCCTCATTGGTTATGTGTTAGAGCCTACTCACACCCATCATGTACCTATTACCCTTTGTGTGATACTTTTCTTTAGTTCTCCAGAGGCAGTAGGCAGTGGTTTATATGTTTCACTATCATATAGCAATATTCGTAAAATGTTAGTATCAAAAAGATGGACATTTGTTTTCATGGGAAACTTGCAGTCAGTAAAACAGCTTTATAATTTCCTGAAAGCAACGAAGCCTCTTCTCTGCTTTGGTTTCAAGGCTGAACACAACCCATTTTCTCATATACTGTTTGTTCCAGATAATACATACTGTTGGACAAGCTTTTATAGGGTACATCTATACAAAATATATTTTGAAATTTGGGCAGTAGGTGTTCTTCATCCATTGTGGTCTTTTCTTTGTGAATGGACAGACCAAACTCCTTTGAGTGGTTGCTGACTCTTCTAGGAATCTCTGCTATGTTTTAGGGCTTGATGCGGTCAGCACAGTGTCAAGCAGGAGCATCTGAAGGACTTCATCATCCACAGGATATAACTCCATAACCTGGATTTTGCATTGGGTCCTCCTCCTCCTCCAGTATAAAAGCAGATACCTTTGTTTTATACTTCAACCAGTATTTATTGTCAAGATGTCATTGCAAAAGACAGTTTTTGTTACTAGGCTTTCCAAGAAATTCCAGATCAACTTGATGTATTGGACGGGAGATAAACTGCTACAAAAGGCAGCTTTTGTTGTCCTTGATCAAATGTATTTCCTTAATCAACAGACACTAAACATGATTGGATCTTATATTTTCTATGACTTTCAGTTGTGCAATGATAAAAGTCATAGTTTATTGTGGAATATCACTTGAAAGCAGCTGCGTATTTCTTGTTAATGCCCTCAATTTATGTATAGATGACTTTCATAAAGATTTTATATAGGTAAGAGAATAGGCATACAGGTTGGTAGTTATTGATATTCTTTCACTCGCTTCTTTTCAGTATTAATAAGATCTGAGTTTTTTTCCCCACACCTTTGGTATCTTCCCTTCATTCAGTTATCTTATAAATTAGTCCCTCAATACCCTCATAATTATATAATTTCCAGCAAGGATTGCCTCTATTTATACATTTGGTCTAGGCTAACTGCTTCTCTTACTTTTATTCCATTTAGTGCTATTTCTTCTTACTCTATAACAGAGGTTCTTAAGCTGGAGTCCATGAACTTATATGAGAAGAAATTATATCTTTATTTTTACTAACGTCTAACTGAGATTCCTTTTTTTCCCTTGAATTATTTAAAAGCATTATTCTGAGAACTGGCCCATCAGCTTCATCAGTCTTTTGAAGGTATCTGTGCTACAAAAAAGGCTAAGAACTCCTGCTGTATAGCTGTCTCAGGCGTTGTGGTGTTAGTTTCCAACTGTGTTGGTTCTACTGTCTTTGTTGGAGACAACAGTTTTGTGGAAATGGAATTTGAAATCTTCCCATTTTTCTTGTTTGTCATCCTTCCATTTTCATCCTTGGGAATGACTTGGGTTCTTGGGATGACTTTGCCTAGTTGAGTATCTTTGCCAAGCTTTCTTTAAATTGGTTTTACTTTCTACTGTGCCTTATTAATGTTGTTGCTATAATCATCCATCATCCATCATCATCCTTTTATAGAGAAGTTTATATTATAACCCAGTGATACTTTTGGCAGCCACTTCTCTCCATTTGAAAAATAAGCCAGATGTTTGCTGACTGAAGTGCTTTCTGGGTCCTTTAGTCCTCCAGTGAAATAGCTCCCATGGAGAAGGGGTAGCTATCCCTACCACCTTGTTAGCCACCGCCACACAGAGGTAGCACACAAGCCAGCATTGCTGAAGCAGTGAGCAGGTCTTCTGAGGGAGAGACAGGATGCAGCATGGGCCGGGCAAGTCAGACCACCACCACTACCTTGACTACAATCTTCCCTCAGGCTCTGATGGAGACAGCCCAGGACCCTAAGCCC